TCCTGCAATTGCTTTGAGTACATCAGAGTTACTTCACATTTGAATATTCCTATTCCTACAAGGTCAAACATATCACAATCCAAAGTTTTGGCCACGAAGACCTAAGATTTCCTTTCTCATGTTACACATCAAATAGTCCGATAAAGTTTCCTAAATTCATGTCAATATTCAGTGTTACATACCATTCCTCCTAACCTCAAAGCCTTATCATCAAATTCCCTATTTTCCCACACTCAACCCAAAATATCTTTAATCATAAAACCCACCATAAACCCACCGAAAGGCATACATAGAAAATCATGAAATACGATACTCCCCATACCTTAGTTGATTCGCAGCTTTCACGATTAATCTTTGGGATCTTCTGCTTCCAGCCTTTCCTTCAGAGCTCTGGCCACCTACTTTCACGTTAAACACAAAAATGAAATCTAATTTCCTTTCAGAATTCAATTTTGTCTAACTTAGTCTTGGGCCTCACAAATTGGGCTTTTCCCTCTTTACCCTTACTAACTCTTCATAATGCCCAATTTACCCTTATTTCACTTATATTCCTTTTAATCAATAATAATACTAATATTCTCATATAGTATACTATTAATTAAATAAATAGTCCAAAAATGCACATTTTCTCAATAATCCACCAAACCACCGAAAACCATCCAAAATACGAATATTCTCAATTAAATAATTAATTAAAATATTCCGCTTAAATTTGGGGTGTTACAAAATCAATTTGAATTTGAGCTCAAAACTTTAAACCTTCTTGACCAATGAACTTGAATATTGGTTTCTTACTTGAATTTGTGGAATTAAGGCCTAATATGCTTTGCACTTAAATGTACCCTAAAAACTTAACTTCAACTTCTTGAATCTTGAAAATCATCATAGACCGTGTGAAGATCTTCTTGCTTTTTGCAAATTGAGCTCCTTGAGTGGTGAATTATTCATGATAGGGTTGGAAATGAGTCGAGTCGAACCCACCTCAGCTCTACTCGACTCGTTAAGAATTGATTCATCTCATATCTCGGCTCGAGTTCGACACGAACTTTTTTTTAAGCTCAAACTCGACTCGTTATAAGTTCACGAACAATTCGATTCAACTCGTTAGGTTCATCTCATTAGGTTCAGCTCAAATGGTTCACGGAATTAAAAGCTATATTTTTAAATCTATTTTTTTTAGTATATTTGACATTTTAAATTAATAATTTTTTTAAAAATAAAATATTAAAATAAAATAAAAATTATCATATTGAAATTTAACTTTATCTCTGAAATCTACTAATTTAAAACCTACACAAATTTCAAGAGATACATTTGAAAGTCTAATTCAAAAACTACTAAATTGAAGATTAAATTTGTCTAAGATTTGGAGTAAATATCTAAACCTAATCTTAAAAACAGTATAATTCTTCTTATATGTAATCGAGTTGACTCATGAACCTAACGAGTCGAACTATGTATAGTTCAAGTTCAGCTCATTTAGTTAACGAACTTAATTTTTTGCTCATATTCAACTCATTTGGTTCATGAACCTATTTCAACGATTTAATTGCCGAACCGAATTTCGAACTATTTTCGAGTTGGTTCGGTTCATTGCCAGCCCTATATGATAGCATACAAACCATTTTACCAACTTTGAAATTTCTAAACCAAGCGATATAGAGGTTCTTGTTTTAGAGAGCTAGTGGTAGCGATCTTCATCCCGTGTTATTCACCTTTATATAGAAATTGGTAATGAGATTCAAATATGAAGATTTGATTAGAATATTAAACGGAATTTGCCTTAGCTTTAGTTTTAACTGCTGTTGTGATGAGCACACTTGAATTGGGGGATTTTAATCTTGAGTTTTGAAATCCATTAGCTCCTTTCTTGAAAATGCTATCATGATAAACCATTCCTTCAAATTTGGATGTTTGGGTGGTGGCTGTATCATGGCCATGCTATTAAACCAATGTTTTTCTAATCTTGGAATTATGAAAACTCTTAAGAATGGCCAAACTTCTTCGAAGCATAAAAACTCCCAAGACAACGCCATATTGCAACCAAGCTTAAAATTTCAGGAACCAAACTATAACGCACCAAACCCAACTAACCCGAGTTTGAGGTCAAAGCACCAGTTCTCAAATTTCCATGCTCAATATCAAATTAAAAGTAAAACCCTAATTCTTTGGGGTATACTCTGAAACTTTTGAGAAATTCTGAGGCAAATAACCACTAGAAAGCCCTAGGACTCTTTGAATTAGAATTCACTAGTCCCGTCTTGAAGGACTTGATTGAGAGAATGAATACTATCCACTTCTTGAAATTAATATGCCTGCACAAATCGGTTAGTCATGAAATGAATGATTGACCTATAATGATGCACTATGATGCAAAAGGAGGTGGAATCTTAGGGTTAAAATTAGGGTGTGACATCGTGGCTGAACTTAAGAAGAGTATTCTTGGGGAAGGACACCGAAGTGTTCAGAGTATTTATCCTGGTGCTACTAAGATGTCTCAAGACTTGAAGAGGATCTTTTTGTGGCTAGGAACGAAGACGGAGGTTGCTAGTTTTGTGTATGCATGTTTGACATGCTAGAAGTCAAAAGGTAGAGCATCAAAAGCCGTTGAGTTTGATGCAACCATTGTCTATTTCAAAGTAGAAATGAGACAATATTTCGATGGATTTTGTGTCTGGTTTGCCGAGGACAGCGAAAGGTTGTGATAAGATTTAGGTCATTGTTGATAGGTTGGCTAAACCGGCTCATTTCCTTCCGATAAGACTTAATTATCCATTGGAAAAACTAGCAGAGATGTATATTGAGAGGATTGTCTGTCTACATGCTATTCCATTCAATATTGTATCTGACAGACATTCAAGGTTTACGTCGAGATTCTGAGAGAGTTTGTAGAAGGTTATAGGTAAGCAGTTGTGTTTGAGTTCTGCTTATAATCCATAGACAAATGCTCACACAAAGAGGACTATCCAATCTTTAGAAGGCTTGCTGAGAGCTTGTGTACTAGACTAAGGAGATGTTTGGAATAATTTTTTGTTGTTGATTGAGTTTATCTATAACAACAGTTTTCATTCGAGTATTAGAATGTCACCGTTTAAAAATATTCTCTTAAACGAGTTAAAAGAAAGCCTGAAAAATAAAATGAATATAAATATTAAACCTATCAATTGATAGAAATAATTTACTAAAATTTTAGATCAAACGAAAATTTTGTGCATATTTGATTTGACATCGAAATCAAATTTTCTTCCTACTTTTAGAAAGCTTGAGAACGATACTGTTTCTTTTTCCATTTCTCTAGTTTCTTTCTCATAGAATTACTAAAGCTTGAGAACGGTACTGTTTTATTTTTTTGTTTTTCTTTGTTTGTTGATTTTTTAATTGTATTAGCTCATTTATTTACTAAGTCTACGACTGACAATGAACAAAACCAATTTGAAAAATTATGTCCGTTAATTAAATAAGTCGAACTTAATTATACATAGTTCGACTCATTAAATTCATGGATCAACTTGATTATATATGAGAAAAATTATATTGTCTTTAAAAATAAATTTAAATAATTACTCCAAATCTTAACATTTTATTGTCTTTTAATCTAACGATTGTAATTGATAATTTACATTTTCAAGTGAGCAAAATATTATTAAAAATAATTAAATAAATAAAATCAACATCATATAAAGTCAAATTGATTAGTTTTTGAATTAAACTTTTAAACATATCTCTTAAAAATTGTATAGTTATTGAATTAATAATTTATTAAAAAGATTAATGTATTGTATATAAAAATATATGGTTGTTTCAATGGTCTTTTAAAACATCTCAGCATGGGAGTGGCTACAAAATTATGGAAGACATTCAGCCATCTGTCAGGGCGATATCGATAAAATTTGCCTCTTATGCTTCTTAGTAAATAAGAAATCTTACAAAAAAAACAAATAGTCGAATAGTTAAATTATGAATACTATTCTTAACTAAAAACAAACTCATGATTTCTACAACTCCAAGTATACTCTTCCTTTAAAAAAATTCAATTTCTATTCATATTACTTTACATTTTTTAAACAAATTTTATCTTCTTAGATTTTCTCTTAAAAAAAAAGATCTTTACTTTTCTCACACTTTATATTTTAAATCATTTACAATTACATGTCTTTTAAATTTCACTTTTTACATTGAACTTTTACTTTCATACTCTTTTAATTTAATTGTTATTTTATCCCAAGTTATTTTCTTTCTCAGAAAATTGACCTAGTATTATTTATTTTATCCAATATCGACCATAAAATTTGCATTCAATTTAGAGAACTTTCACAGCGAACAATAAAAAATGTGAGTCTACCTATTTAACTTGTTCAAACTTCTCCAATCACTCTGATTAAACATTTATTTTTGTTTCAAATTTGATTATTTCCCCTTAAAATAATTCGTGTAAACAAATTAACAGTTAATTTTCACTATCATAATATTTATTGTTAATTATAAATTAAAAAGGTGTAAAATAACGAACTTTAATATAGTAATAATACAATCAATTGAACTAATATGAATATGTGTTGTATAAAAAAAACTAGTAAATTTGTTAAAATTTATAATTAGAGATGAATGCGAGGTTTACTATATTTGGAATTTCTCTTTGGAATCTATGGAAAAAAAAAATAGAATTGAATGTGAGCTCTATGCATGGAATTTCACTTTCTCTAGTCAAGCTTTCTTTAATTGGTAGTGTCTGGTCTAGGTGTCTTAATAACTTGCAACCAAAACCAAAGATCCTTTCATGATTGAAGACACCATTATATATATCAAAAAAAGAAAGAAATGTACAAGTAGTACAAAAGATACACCTTTTTTTTTATAATAAAGAAAATATACACAAATTTGGGCCATACTATTTAAATAAAAATCTATTAGATTTATCATAATAGTAAAGACAATTACAATATAAAAGTCTATTTTTCGTTAAACCAGTTCAATTGATAGCTGCGCAGAGACACCAGAAATTAAAGACCACTTGAGCCGATCAACTTAGTTAGCCCAAAAGTAATAGCCATGGCAATCCAACCTCCAAGCAAGACCCTCAAACAAGACTTCAAAACTGGTGCCTTACCCAACACTGCTCCCAACAAACCAAACACAACCAAAGCAAAACTAACTGCTACCAAAACAACACCTACTCTCAACTTATAATCTTTAATAAAAGATGCTGCAAGAAGAGGCACCATTGCACCAACTGAAAACGCCAAAGCTGAAGCTGCTGCAGCTTGTAAAGGATTTGGCAAACTTTCTTTCTCAATAACAACATCCTCAACATTGCTATTACCATTCTCAATGTTTTTGTCTCTTTTTAATTGAGCTATTTCAATGTCAAGCTGAGAATAAACAGATACAAACTCACCTATTGCCATGCTACATGCACCGGCTACGAGTCCCGCGAAACCCGACAAGATCATGGCCTTGATGTCTTGTTTCACCGCTCCTACACCCATCATCAACGACGCTGTTGAAACTAATCCATCGTTAGCTCCTAGAACCGCGGCGCGAAGCCATTGTGATCTTTTCGAGTAATCAAACTCGTCGCTTTCGATCTCGAGTGTCGCATTTTGTTCATGATCATGGTTATTGTTTGGATGCACAAGTTTTGCTTGGTTGAGAGGTGAATTATTGGATTCCATTAGAGAGAGTGTGGAGGACACAAGCTAATGAAGAAGTCTATTTATGGATGAAAAAGTTTTGTGTATGTGTTGAGGGAAATTGGTGGGACAGGCCCACTAATTAAAAGACAAATTCTATATTCACCAAAATTCATACAAAATATGTGTATATGTTTTTATAATAAAATAAAGTAAATTAACTTTGCCCTCATTTATTAAAGAGGTCATGAAAAGTGGGGTATGATTGAGGATGTGTGTGCTCCAATATGGTGACATTACAAGTTGAAGGATAAATGATCAAATAATGTAACTTCTTTTTGTGCATAAAATATACATATATGCACTAAATTACTGTGTATTATGGTTTAGCTTTATAATTTTAAAAGACTTGTCAATGGACATGGTGAATTATTAGTAGATCAAGTGATTGGGAAAAATAATTTCTACAAATAAATAGATTCGAATATCACTATTTAGCGTATAACGTAATATGTTTACTTTTCAAACACAGGTAATCATAAATTGATTAAAGATTAAAGATTCTCTATGAATTTTCTTAAACTACTGCTATGGAGATTCAAATATAGAACTATAAAATGGTTAAGAATTAGTAAGAATTTATGTTGAAATATGAATTAAATTATAATAAATAAATATGAGTTATATAATTTGTTCACACGGCTTCAAATGCGTTGAATCTCGATAGAATGGATAGTGTTTTTGGAAAGAAAACAAAAACTTACTATGGAGTTTATTCTCTTATTTATTTTAAACAATGTTCTCCGCGTCTCTCTCCACTACTTAAATAATATTTTTTATGATAAAATTTTCACTTTGAATAATAAAAAATCGAGGTATATATAGATAAGACGCACTATTTTTTATTATTAAAAAAACTAAAAAAATCTTAAATTCTCTCAATTTTTTATAAAATCGAGATGAAAAAATAACTTAGTACAAGATCTGATTTCCAACTATCGCAGTTTATAAATTTATTTGATTATAAGTGTAAATAAAATGTTATAACCTTTCGATTGACGGCATTGGGAAATTTATTACTAAAGACAATCATCTAGATAATCTCTTTCATGATCTCTTTCATGTGAAAGCATTTGCTATGAAAACATTGCTCAATATAATCTGGGATGGATTGCAAGTACAGACAAAAATATCCCCCGATTAGAACAGACAACTTATCAAAAATCAAAAAATAATATAAATATTAAAAAATTACTCTTGTTTGGAACATATAACTCCTCTGTGTTGTTCTCCAAGAATCTATTGTCAAACTCCTAATTTGGGATGAACCATATTTTTTTTAATATTTAAAAAGAAATCCAATTTACCTCGGCTTTGAGTGATAACCAAGGTAATATATATATATATATATATATATATATATATATATATATATATATATATATATATATATATATATATATATATATATATATATATATATATATATATATATATATATATATATATATATATATGTGCGTGTTTTTCCAGTTTCTTCATCGTATATTTAATGACTATCAACGCTTAAGACACTGTCATTAGTGATCTTCGTGAAACTTAAAACCCACATTATAAAAGCATTCTGAATATTTAAATTTGATAATAGTGAATCCACAAGAAATTCAAATGTTGTTGTGAAACTTTCTATGTTTAGTTAGAGCGCCATGAGATTTTACAAAGTAAAAGTACTATGATAAATTGCAATAATAGAAAAAAAAAAGGTTTATTTAATATGTGTCTGGTGAGAGTGTATTTACTTTGCCTAAGATTTATGTGATGGATTGCAAGTGCAAAAAGTTATCATGGGTTCAAGGTTTGTGTTCTTAAATAATCATATAACTAAATATTTATTTTATTTAGCTAACTTTTTTTTATATCAAAAACAAATGAATGCAAAAGCAATAGAAAATATATTGCATTCAACATTTGATCTTCCTCAAGATCAACGAAACGAGGATCCCCAACCTTTTCTCTTCTCCAAGATATCCAACATTTGTTCTTCACCGCCAATGATGACGATGAAGAACAATATTTTTACTTTAATAAATTGTGTAAACAATGTAATATTTTGTGTACATAATATAATTTTTAAACAAATAAACTTATTCATATTCTATGTAAACAATGTAATGAGTTTTATTAAAAAATAAACAAACTATCTAACACCTCAGTTTTTAAATAAAAGAGGTATGAGGCGTTGTTTTTGTAAATAGTTAAAATGTAGATGATGGGGTTCAAACCCATGATCATATAACTTTACTCCCTCACTTTATCTTTTAACTGTGGTGATAAGTGACAATTTTTAATGTCACATTTCGTTACGTCGCCTTGGTAGCCAAGGTTATATCTTTCGTGTGCGAGGTTATAAGCGTTAATTATAGTAGTGGTCACATAAATTTATTAGGAAAAACTATATCAGTTGTGTTGTATTTGTTTAAAAAGCTACATATGCATGGTACCTCTATGTTGGATGTTAGGGCAAGCTCGTGAGAGTGAGGAGTTCTGTTGTGGTGGTGTTTTTTTGTTAGGTTAGAATCAGTTCACGAGGGTGAGAAGTTGTGTTAATGGGGTATATTCGGTGAATAATATTAATGTTCTTGTCCACCCCAAGGGTGAAGTATTTATAGGGATTCGTAGAGCTGGATTTGGGAAGCTCCTAAGAAGTAGTAACTATCCCACCTTAATTAGGAATGTGTTGACTACCTACTTTTTAGAGAATCATGGTCATGAATTTTTCACCCCAAAAACATCGCCAAACATGTCCTCAATCAGATTAAATTGTTCCTCATATTCCATATATGACCGACTATTTGAAGCATGTGTATTAATACTTTTGGGTATATTATTCGAAAATTCTATTATATTATATTTCCAAACCCAATAATTTTTAATGAAACCCCTTTTCTTCAAATGGTGTTCTACTTCCTTTTGGCCACTATTTATAGGTTATATTCACATTTAAGACAAAGACATCTTAGTCATCCTTCGCTTTGATAACATTCTTGAGCAAATGTCCTTGTAATAAATTGTAACACCCATATATAATATAATTCTATAAATATATTTCATACATAGTTATGATGTTGGTACCGAAATATATAAGTTCCTAATGGCAAGATTGTACATATTACATGCTCAAAAAGAGAAACTACAACATTAGCACAATATATACAAGGTGCCCAAAAATAAAAATAAAAAACTAAGAACAATATCTTTGTAAAATAATCTCAAAATAGACATCTACACAACAGAAAGCCATCCAAAATATCATGCAATAAGGACATCAGGTCAACTTGTCCTTACCCTTCGACTGCTCTGAACTACCTGAAAATAATCAACAAATATGGGGTGAGATAATAGTCTTAGTAGGTTTCTTATCACATGGGTCCACTCGGCTCTACAAGGTTATAATCAAACCTAAATCAAGTCGTAAGGGAAAAGACTTAAGTTCAAAAAACTCACATTGTATGAAGACATGCCTCATGAGTTCATAAACTCAAACAATCACCAATCGGAAACCATACTAAGGTATCTTTCCCCGACCAAACCTATGTCTAGGATTATCGACACGGGTCACGAATCCTTGTATCATACTTCAACTTTCTTGAACACTTCAAATTCTTCTATGGGACTCTAACCCATTTGGTTGAACTATGAGAATCTAACCTATTTGGTTGAACATATGGGACTCCAACCCATTTGTTTGATGCGAAGTACCGGTGCATTCATCCCAATATTACTCTATATAAGTACTATGAATTGGGATGACACAATCAAGGGTTGTTTCCAACTACGTGATTAGATATGATATAACTTGATTGTATTCGACGATTGCAAGGTGACCATATTCACCTTCACCACTCAATAACAATACATGTTCCATACAATGCATCTCACTAACAACTATGACAATCATCCATCCATGTCACCTAGGTATCATATCGAATAAATGTCACCTTCTAATGTCATCTAAGTCATATTCCTAACTTCTTAACCTAAATATATCACTAGGTTAACTCACTTAGTTCATCAAGTGTAAACATGTGGTTTTCTTTTTAGCATTTTCAGGTAATTAGCTTTTGCTTGATCAATTTTGTGAAATTTGTAAGTTTCATAGCCTATTAGAAGCATTGGATGCATAAAAGCACATAACAAGACTCAAAGTTACATTTTTGGAAGATTTTGTGTTTTGCAAAGCGGGTGAAATGCGGTTCTAGCGCACTTAGAAAAATCAAAACAGTAGGGAAAATGAAACTTTCGCGCTAAGCACAATGTTCATCATTAAATAGGAATGTGAGTGGCGGTGTTACTGACCAATATAATAGTCTCATTAGTGGCGTGTGAATCACATCACAAACCAGACACATGATAAATATGTCGCAACCACATAGTTGTTTAGTGGGTTAGAACGACCACATTTAGCAACGCGGAAATCCTTCACAACTTATCCATCAACAACTCAATTGATGTGGCCGGTCAATCTTTTGCCTCCTTTTTTTTTTTAAATTAAAAAAAATCATTAACGACATATTTTACACATCACAACAAATTTAAAAAAAATTAAAATTTCCCCATTTAAAAACGTGATATTTATTTATTTCTATATATTATTATTTTTATTGATTTCACAACACATGATATCATTTTTCTTGTAGTGAATTATCCAAGAACAAAATATTGGATAATAGTTCCCGAGAGACCTATCCCATTGAGCTAGTGTTTTTGACGTGTCTTTTCAAAGAGCTCAGACATCTAGATAATCTCTTGAAAATATTGTTTTCTAGAGGGTTTTTGTTACTAAGTCAGACCAACATATAAATACTAAGTCAGACCAACATTATGATATATCTCCACCCTAAATCTAAAATTTTTAAAGCAACACCTTTGTGAGAGACACCCCACATACTCACCCAAAACCTTAAGGTGATATGTGTGTGAATTCTCCTACTTATAAATGCTAAGTCACCACATTCTTATCCAATGTGGGACTATTATCCACA